AATGAATTAGGGTTAATTAAGCAATGTCCTCCTTATTCAATCATTAATTTAATTCAAAGGGTTGGAAAATGTAAATTAATGAAGGAAATGGAATTATATTGACATTCATACCCTAGAATTCAAGAATCCATCAACTCAATAAGGATTACAAGAAAGTTTAGCCCTCCATAAGGATGGGTCTTACAAATTCAAGATGAAAACAAGGAGAATTCAACATCATCAATGCAAGAATTAAAGGAAAATGAAGAGAAAATGTAAATCAAACCCTAAGAGTGGCCTTGGCTGTCACCCAAGGATCCTAAGCTCTGCAAAATGCTCCCAAAGTGGCAAAAGAATCTAAAATTATGTAAAAAGCTCTGTACCTTAATTTCTCAAATTCTATTTATAGTGCAGAAATTTTCGCCTATAGTAACTACTATGGTTTCATAGTGATAACGCGCAGTGCTCCATAATAGTTACTATTGCTCCATAGTGGCCACGCGCAAGTCTTGTGCTTTTGGCCTCTCTGAAGTCTTCACTTTGGTATCAGAGTGATAACTTTGGCTGCTGCAAAGTGTCTACTATGGTTCCAAAGTAAGCACACGTAACACTTCTTCAATGGGTCTTTGTAATTGTTACTATGGTTTCATAGTGATCACTTTAGTTTGCCTTTCTGGACTTAGCTTGTTGTAGTGTTCACTGTGAGATCCAAAGTGATCACTTTTGTCTCAAACTTTCTCAAATGCTAAAAGTCCATGGAAAAAGTCTAGAAATTCCTGCACAATTATTCAAATGATCAAAATTGTAAACTATATCTATGTAAATCAATATAAATTAACCAAAAATTAAGAAACCTATAATATTTGACCAAAATGATGTTTTTATGTTATTTACACTTCCTAAGTTTACTTTTTCTATTAAGAAACATCAAAATGACAAGTAAAAATCCAATAAAATGTGGATTCATCAAGACTCTGGAGTAATAGAAAAAGTAGGAGCATCACAGGCCTCACACTCATTTCCTGACTAATACTTCTGACCATGCTTTTGCTAAAAGGGGCCGGGTCGGCAACATTGTATTTGTGTAGCTGTGGCTATCCAACAACTATCTATGCTAAGGAAGACCTCAAGGGATCACAGGGGCACTAAAAGTGCATAATGAGAACTCTAAGTATTAAGAGAGAGATGAAGAGTAATAAGCTGAATATTTAAAGATTATTACATGTATATGAACATGATTGATTGTTGTATTACTTTTGTTTTTCTGTGTGAATAATTGTGAATGTATACTTGGTAATATGAATAGAGATTCATCCTTACATAAATATTTCAGGAGCTAGGATGATAGCACTCATAGAGAGAATTGGACTTGTAGATAGTTCTATACATAATAGACTTAACTCTGTATTTAACGAATATTAGAGATTATGTTACTTTAGAATTGCTATACATGTTAATGATGTGCGTAGGGATATTGTTATGATGGAAATGGAACTATATTATAGTATCCCCTTTTATTTCCCTGTAAGTAGAATACATCATACCCTCTGTGTATATATATTCTGATAGGAACTGAGTATATTTATGAAATTAACACCGAAACCTCAAGGAACTCCGTAGTAGTACAACCAAAAAATTAAAATAGTAGAAAGGTAATAATGATGAAATAGAAACTTCTCCTAGGCAGCAGCCACCTCCCAATCACTTCCCAGATATTTCTTACCTCTTTCTCTTATCAATCTACCTTATACCTCTCCCTCAGCCGCTCCCTCCCTCCTCCATGTCATTCAGTTTGTTATTCTGTTAGAAGCTTCCTTAATAGCCTCCCTGCCCATAATCCCCTTTTTATCCCTTTTTCTCTTGTATGTTTTTAGTAGAGGCCCAATTGGCTTGGACCTAACAATACCCCCCTATTGAGAGGAACCTTGTCCTCAAGGTGGAAGTGTGGAAATATGGCCTTTAGTAGATCAAATTCTTCCCAAGTGTTGTCCTCCTCAAGCAAATTCTTCCATTTAACCAGAACCTCCTAGTACTCATTCATGAGTTTTCGGGCATCCAGCACCCTTTCAGGCTTAACTTGGAGCTCAAATTCTTTTGTTAGAAATGGGGGCAGAGCTTGACTTGGTCGACTAGTAGGGGGCCCTCTTCATCTGGGAAACATGGAAAATAGGGTGCACTCGTGATGATTCTGGCAGCAATAACTTATAAGCAACAACTCTTATTTTTCTTCCACACAAAAGGGGCCATGAAATCTAGGGCTCAGTTTCTGATTTACTCTTTTTGCTAATGACTTCAACTTATATGGTCGAGCCTTCAAGTACACCATGTCCCCAATCTAATATTCCATTTCTCCTCGTCCCTTATCCATTTGCCCTTTCATTTGCAACTATTCTCTAAGTAAATGTTGCTTAAGCTCCTCTATGATGCTGTCCCACAACAACAATAATTGGTCCACCTCAGCCACCATAGTACTATCCCGACAGTAAGGAACAATCATAGGAGGGTCTTGACCATAAAGTGCCTTGAAGGGGGTCATCTTAATAGAAGCGTTGAATGAAGAATTAAACCAAAATTTCCCCATTGCAGCTAATGAACCCATTGGCGTGGATGATCACTCGTAAAACATCTCAAATAGGCTTCAATGGTGCGATTGGTGACTGATAGTCATATTTTAGTACATCTTTCTCTCCATGTTTTTGGTTTAATTGTGCTTCATTAGTATATTATTTTGATGTGTTAGTTTAGATTTGTGTTAGTAAGTAATTTAGGATTTAAATATAAATCTTTCTTAATTCCCGCCATAATTTCTTATTTTGACACAGTTTCTTGCAAAGACCATATCTGGAGCTACACTACTCGGAATTGGACAAAATTAGTGTCCCTAGAAAGATAAGACAAATCTACAACTTCTCTGTTGGGAGAAAAGCCCAGTTCGAGCATCTTCAAGTCCAAAATTGCGTCACAATGTTGCGGCCCTGCACTAAAATTTTCAGAATTTGATTGTATTGTTGATTTTACTTAGTTAGGGAGTTGGGTCTTAATTAAGCCCAATTATTATGTCTTTTACTTAGTTAGGTGTTTAGGAAACTCATTAGGGAGTTGGGCCTTAATTAAGCCCAATTATTTTATCTTTAAATAGAGGTTATGACTCTATGTACGAATCCTTATTTTTCTTTTCCTGCAATTTTTTTAGAATTACAAGTCTTTATTTTAAATTCTTTCCTTTATTTTCGTCTCTCTACCTTCCATCTTTTCATATTTTCTGGTTTTGGCCGAAGCAAACATGATCATGAAGCAAGGCTAATCCATCAATCGGTTCAAGGTTTCAAGAACAACATTGCGTTTGAGTTTCGGGTTAGGTTCTATCGAATTCGCGCTTTTCCTCCTCTTTTCTGATTAGGATAATTACGTTTTTCATGATATTGATTTTTCGTTTGCATTCTAAACAGAGAATGAGAATTTCATATTTGAAATAAATGAATTCACCTAATTCAATAAATCAATTGTTCTGAATTTTGTTAGAGCATTGGATTTGTGATTGCAGTTCTTGCTTTGATGAAATTCATAATCTAGATTTAGATTTTGGGTTATTAATGTCGTATTGAATTAGTGTTGATTGGAAATTCGTTGGAATTATATTCGTGTAACAATGAGAATTGTGTTGTAATGATTGAGATCTTGATTTGGTTGAATTTCATATTTCATTTCGCTATAATTATTCCTTGTTCTTTTCTTTTCTATTGTTTACAATTTAATTCAAAACAATCCTTCTCTAAGCTAATCTGAAATCACATGATGGAACCAGAAACAGAATGTATCTTATGTCCTTGTGAGATGACCTAGGTTTACTCCTTGTATTGCAAAATTTTTAAGAAAATCTAGTTTGTTTGATACCATTGCGACGTGGTTATCAATGAATTTAGTTTGGCCATCCGTTTGAGGATGGTAAGTTGAACTGAATTTTAGCTTGGTGCCCGAGAGACGAAATAATTCCTTCCAAAATGAACTAATGAAGATTCAATCCCGATCTGAAACTATGGATGTAGAAAAACCATGTAAACGAACTATTTCTTTTACAAACATTGTGGCAACCTCCTTAACTAAATATGGGTGAAGTAAGGGAATGAAATGGGCATATTTTCTTAGCCTATTGACCATAATGCTGTCAGCTCCCTTAGCTTTGGGAGGTGCTCCAATAAAATCCATCGAGATGTCTTCCTATACATGCATAGGAATGGGCAAGGGCTGAAGTAAGCTTGCAGGTTTCAAGGTTCCGTGTTTGCTTAGTTGACAAATCTGACAGCCTGCGACAAATTTTTCTATATCCTGCTTCATCCCCGTTAACTAAAAAACTATAGACAACCTCTTGTAAGTACTTGTCACTCCAGAATGGCCCCCCCAAGGTAAGGCATGAAATTCTGCCAACAATAATGGTATGCAGGCAGACTCCTTAGGGAGGACTAGCCTCTGCTTATACCACAAGCACCCTTAAGAAATTGCATAATGTGGATGGCAATAAGGGTGAGACAGTAATTGCTGCATGATTCCCTTCAACACTTCATCTCCAAGGACCTCCTCAGCGAAATTGACTAGGTCGGCATTAGTCACCATAAATATGGCATTATAACTCATCACCCTAGACAACACGTCAGTTGCCTTATTTTCTAGCCCTAGTTTGTATTGAATTTCAAAGTCAAAACCCATTAGCTTGGTTACCCACTTTAACTGTTCCGCTGTCAAAACACGTTGCTTCTAGAGGAACTTCAAACTCTTTTGATCAGTTCAGATAATAAAGTGATTGCCCAACAGGTATTGGCGCCATTTTTGAACAACAAACACTATTGCCATTAGCTCATGTTCATAGACAGATTTCACCTTATTTCGGTCTGATAACGCTTGACTAATAAATGCTAAGGGTCGACTTTGTTGCATTAAAATTGCCCTAACTCCATGCCCTGAGGCGTCAGTCTCGATCACAAATGGTAGGTCAAAGTTTGGCATGGCTAAAGTAGGCAGAGCCTTCATCTCCCTCTTAAGTTGGTCAATTCAGTTTGTGCCTCTTCTGTCCATTTGAAATTATTCTTCTTCAGTAACTGAGTGAGAGGTTTAGTAATAACACCATAACTCCAAACAAAGCGGCAATTGTACCCGATTAACCCTAGGAATCCCCTCAAACTGCGAATGTCCTTGGGTGCTAGCCATCGTGCCATAGCAGAAATCTTTGCAGGATTAGCAGAGATTCTAGCTAAGGAGATTATGTGCCCAAGATACTCCAGCTGAGACTCTCTAAAACTGCACTTTTTACCATTGATCCACAGCTTTTGGCTTTTTAGTAAATGAAGAACTACACCTAAGTGATCAATATGAGAAGAGTAATTTGGGCTATACACTAAAATATCATCAAAAAAGACAAATACAAATTTACGTAAATAGGGTTTAAAAATTTGATTCATCAAAGATTGAAACGTTGAGGGGGCATTGGTTAACCCGAACAACATTTTCAACATACTTGTAGTGTCCTTCATGTGCCCCAGAAGGCTATTTTAGGTATGTCCTCTGTCCTCATGAGAATTTGGTAGTAGCTTGACTTCAGGTCCAGTTTAGAGAAGACTGTGGCCCCTCCCAACTCATCCAACAGTTCTGAAATAGGAAACTTGTTTGGAACTCTGATACTGTTAAGGGCACGGTAATCCACACAGAATCGCTAGCTACCATCCTTTTTCTTGACAAGAATCAATGAGCTAGAATAGGGGTTGGTACTGGGTCTGATCAAGCCTGCTGCTAGCATATCCCTTACAAATTTTTCAATCTCTTCCTTGTTGCTAGCAAGTCTGATCAATCTCTTTCTAGTAGCCGCCTCTTTCAAAACTATGGCATGGTCACATTCCCTTGGGGTGGGAGAATGGTGCCCTCCTAAACAACTCGTCGGACTCCCTCAATAGCTCCCTCATAGCTTCTGAGCTGTCGTTGCCACCTGAGTAGGTAACTCTGTACATCCTAATGTAATCATACCCTATTCTACATAATAAGCCTCAGCCTCCCATTTTAACTCCTTTCTAATGGCCTTTAATGAAGCCACTATCCGTGATAGCCCCACGTCCCCTTTCACCTCAATAGTTTTCCCATCCTTGTGCACCTCAATTAAGTGTTGTCGCAGGTCAACACTAAATTTCCCTAAACTCTTGAAAGCCATTCATACCTCAAAACCACATCCACCCCCACTAAGTCAAACAAGAAAAAGTCTTGAATTACCTGTAAATTAGGTAACTCCAACACCACCCCCTACAAACCCCATGGCTTCCCAACCTTTGCCTATCTTCTACTTCAACGAAATACCCCTTCGTGGCCTCTGTGGGGATAGTTAGCTCTTCTACCAAACCTGGTGATAGGAAGTTTTGCGCTGCCTTTGAGTCCACCATCATAATTACCCTCTTACCCGAGATCAGTCCCTATAATTTCAACGAGTTCTTCAAAGTTATACCAGCAATAATACTTGCGTTTAGTTGAAGGTTTACTTCCTCTGCTTCATCCTCCTCAGGGACGTCACCCTGGGTCGCATCTTCTTCCCCAAACATAATGACGTGGAGCTACTTATTGCAACAAACATGGCTCGGCGAAAAGCTCTCATTATAGCGAGAGTAGAGCCCTCTTTGTCACTTCTCGTTTTTCTCTGCCTCGGTCAGTCGTTTGAACCCAAGTCCTCTTTGGTGTGAGGAAGAGGTGATTAGGTTGCGACGATGATTTGGATTCCCTTGCGTCTCAACCTAGCTGCTATTAGGGTGATTAGAAACCCTTGGCCCAAGGGAGTAAGTGGGTTTGCTTCTTCTGGTCCAGCTCTGCCTAGGCGCATATTGGGCTTCGCCGGTTTCAACCTAACCTGGCTTATTACACGTTGACCCACTCATTTTAGAAGGAGGGCCAAATGAGAGGCCTAACACCCTATTTTTCAGTTTAACCTTTTGGGCCATCTCCATCATCGTGCTCAAGTCCCCTGAATCTCTCAACCTGACCTCTACTTTGATTTCTTCCTTTAGGCCATTAAGGAAGGCCCCAATCATAAATTCCTCGTTGGCAAATCGCAGCAGAGCAGAGAATAGCTCGAATTGTTCCCTGTACTCCATAATCGTTCCTCTTTGTTTCAGTCCCATTAGCACCTCGTATGGATTCTCTGATGAAGACGACCGAAAATGCCCAAATAGGGCTTATCAAAATGCTGGCCAGGTGGTGGTTGGCACCAGCAGCTCCCACCATTGATACCAGTTGAGCGCCTTCCCTTCCAAACACACCATCGTCATATCCACCTTCTCTGCTTCGGGAATGCCATTAATTTTGAAGTATCGCTCTGCCCTGTACACCCATCCATATGAATCATCCTCGTGAAATAAGGCACTTCAACTCGCTTTACCCTTTCCTCCCTTTGCCAAGCATTGCCCTCACCATTACCACCTTCTTAGTTATCGTGTGTACCTTCCCTTTCTGCCTTAATCACCTGTAGAGCCGATTTGAGCCTGGTCATCATTGCCATCATCATCTCCTCCATCTGCCTCCTGAACTCCTCCTGCATAACAACCTACATGTCCTCTAGTCTTCGTTCAACGTTTTCCAGCCTATTCTCCATTCTCGTCAACACCATCAGGCGCTCCTAGGATTGGGAGCTCTGATACCAACTTGATAGGAACTGAGTATATTTATGAAATTAACACCGAAACCTTAGGGAACTCCCTAGTAGTACAGCAGAAAAATGAAAATAGCAGAAAGGTAATAATGATGAAATGGAAACTTCTCCTAGGTACCTCTCGATCACTTCCTAGATATTTCCTACCCCTTCCTTTGATCAATCTACCTTATATCCCTCCCTCTCTCCTCTACGTCATTCAGTTTGTTATTCCATTAGAATCTTCCCTAACAGCCTCCCTGCCCATAATTCCCTTTTACCCCTCCTTCTCTGGTATGTTTTTAGTAGAGGCCCAATTGGGTTGGACCCAACAATACCCCCCAACAGCCTTAACCTATTTGTTTACATATCATGACCACGACCATCTCCGAAGGCCATCCAAATGAACTATTGAGCGAATCACTAGCACCCAAGTTACTGCAGATTTAGGTGATTAATATCTTGGATCAGATAAGGATCTTGATTCTGACGATATTGCAGAAATAGAAGGATGGCACAGGGATACTAGTAACTCTTTGGTCTTTTGGTCGATAGGCTGCTCATTAGGACTTGTTATATTTTCTACTTTGTAAATATTGTAAAAGAGTCCTGATGTATTTTGATGTGTATTTTGCTAAGGTTAATTCACTATAAACTCTTTAGAACAATATATATATATATATATATATATATATATAAATGTTATTTCACGTTTCCTTTTTAATTTGTTTTACTTTCATGGATTTGTTCTCTAAATTTTTATAAGTTCAAGCAAAATAAATGAAATTTTTATAATTCCACGTCTTATACTCGATTGGCAAATGGATTTAAATTAATTATCCCTTTTTTACTATGAAATTATTTTTATTGTTTTGAATAAAGTAAAGATGTTACAAATTCAAATCATTATGGCCAACCACCTGCATTCAATGAGAAACCTCAACCGAAACCTCTCTTAGGCCGACCCTTTAGATTTTATATGTATTCTCTCTAAAAGCCTACATTTAAATTTTGATTTTTGCCTTTCCCCTCTCCCTTAAATTGTTCCCATAGTAAACGCTAGTAATGGATAACTTTGAAGGATGCAGCAATTTAATGGCTGAGTGGAGGCAAATGAAATGTCATGTAGCAAAGTCTCGTAGTAGAAAAAGAGAGAGTGAGAGTGGGTTTTAATGACTGGTTAGGTGGCTATTACTTTAGTGACAATCAAAATTAAGGAGCCTCAATGACCCACTAAATTGACACCTCTCTACCTTCTCTCACCCTTGCATTTCAACTCACCTATATAAAAGGACTCGTCCTACCTTAATTTCATTTTCTCCTTCACAAATAAGACCACCTTGATTTAAACACATCGAGAGAACCAAGAGATGAGTATTACCCCTATGTTGCATGACTCCATTTTCTACTCTAGTCACCCTACCATCCATCCATAAACTGTGCATTAGACTTCCGCTGCAAGTAAAAGAAACTTTCCCACCCTTTTTCCTGTTCGTATTTTGGCAGAGGTAAGGAGAGTCCAAGTAATTGATTTCAAATGCATGAAATTACTTGTTACATAAGTTAGTCTATCCTTGTTCCACTCTTTGATTTCAATAAAAACTGCATGCATGATGTTTTGTTCTTCATCCTTTTGTATTTTGATCGACCTCGTGAGTGGATAGATATTTTGTTGCTTGCATGCAATACGATTGTAAGTGGATTGTGCTACATGTCCCCAATGTTATGTTTTCTTCATTTTTTTAAGTGAGTGTGTCCCCTGCTAATGATAATAGATAATATCAAGTGGACCAGCATTATAAGTTACTTTTCTAATTTTTCTCTTCGATTTAACCTTAAAAATAAAAAACATGATTTCTGAAACCATGAACCTAGATTTGTTGTGTTTTTTGTTTTGACTGCCTATACTAAAAAATAACAAAGGTGTTTGCCATGTGAAATTATTTTCCTTATTTTCTAGTACAAATGATGAAAGGTGAATGCATGTGATAATCTATTCTGTTGAGTCATTATTAATCTGCACCATGGTAATTCTTCTCATTGATAAGAAAGTGAAGATTTTTATTTCAATATTTTGATGATTAGATAGAAACTCAAGAGATACTATATTCTACGTCCCTTTTGCTATGTGTGTAGTTATGGATTTAATTTATTCTTATAACATGGATGAAATTATGTATCTTGCACTAGTATTATCCTGTAGTTAAACCGAGGAAGTGCACACATTTTAATTCCAGAATATACCTCTATGATATGTCTCATCCAATTAGTTCAGTTTCTGATTTTTCTGTGTTTTCACTCCCCTATGATATGAAATTTGTTGTCCCTTTATAGACACGTTCATATTGCTTTTTCATATTGGAATTGTGTATGTTGTATGTAAATACGATACTATATACTTGGCTTGAAGTGTGTATGTTTCGCCCTATCATATGCTACCTTGTCCATTATTTTAAAAAAAAATAGAAACCATGTATGGTATACAACACTCCATCCTTATGTGTATAATTGGTGCATCTGTTCTGGATTAAAACTCACATGATACTTCTTTCTATTTTCTTCTAGATTAAGTGTGATAGAATAAATGCTTTTCAACTTCTAGAATTCCCTTCTTTCTTAGGTTTGTGACCCAAAGGGTTGAATGTGAATGTTTGTAATGTTTTTTTTTGCAAGTAGACATCCCTCTTATTTGGTTGTAATTTGCACCATGTACCTTGGTGAACTTGAACATAACTCAAAGTGTGGACTGTGTGGTTTTATATTTTGGATACAAAATTTATCGTGTGTATTGGATGAATTATTACAAGTCTGTAGGAGTTTGATTGAGAGACGTTAAGATTTTTTTTTTGTGGTAACTACACCTATGGTAAG